TTTTTTTTTTTTTTGGTACTGGGGATCGAACTCAGGTCCTTGTGTTTGCAGGGCAGGCGGCGGAACCACTTAGCTAAATCCCCAGCCCCAAAGCTTTTTAATAAGATGAGATCCCAATTGTTGATTTTTTTGGGTTAGTTCCTGTGATACTGAGGATTTGTTCATAAATTTTTTCCTATGCCTATGTCTTCAAGAGTTCTACCTAATTTATCTTCCAGCAAGTTTAGTGTTTCTGTTTTAATATTTAGATCTTTAATCCACTTCAATTTTTAGTTTAGTGCATGGTGAAAGATAGGGGTCTAGTTTTAATCTTTGGCAAGTTGAAATTCAGTTTTTTCAACACCATTTATTAAAGAGGCTATCTTTCCTCCAGTGAGGGTGTTTGGCTCCTTTGTCAAAGATGAGGTAGCTGAATATGTCTGGAGCTGTTTCTGGATCTTCTACTCTATTCCACTGATCCTTGGGTCTGTTTCTTTGCCGATACCATGCTGTTTTTATCACAGTCACTTTGTAGTATAGTTTCAAGTTGAGGATTGTGATACCTCCTGCCATGTCTCTGTTGCCTAGAATTGCTTTGCTATTCTAGGCCTCTTCTGCTTCCAAATGATTTTTTGGATTGTTTTATCTAGATCTGTGAAATATACTGTTGGGATTTCAATTGGGATTGCATTGAATCTGTGTAGCAGCCTTGGAAGTACGGCCATTTTCACTATATTGGTTCTTTCTACCCAGGAACAGAAGATGTCTTTACATATTTTTATATCCTCTTTGACATCTTTTTTCACTCTTTTTTCAGAGTGTTGTAGTTCTCAATGTAGAGGTCTTTTGCTTCCTTCATTAGATTGTTTCCTACATACTTCATTTTTTTGGATGCTATTGTGAAAGGGATTGTTTCCCTAATTTCTCTCTCAGTGAGACTGTTATTTGTGTACAAGAAGGTTATTGATTTTTGAGTGTTTACCTTGTATCCAGCTACTTTACTGTATCTGTCAATTAAGTCTAGAAGTCTTTTGTTGGAGTTTTTTGGGTCTTCAATGTAGAGTATCATATCGTCAGCAAATAATGACAGTTTAACTTCTTCTCTTCCTATCTTTATTCCTTTTATTTTTTTCTCTTTTCTAATTGCTGTGTCTAAGGTTTCCAAAACTATATTGAACAGGAGTGGTGATAGCCGACATCATTGTCTTATTCCTGATTCATTGATTTCTTGTATCATTCTCTTAGTCTCCATTGCATTGATTTCTGCTCTTATCTTTATAATTTCCTCCCTTGTACAAGCTTTGGGTTTGTCTTGCTCTTCTTTTTCTTTGTTCTGTTTTTTTTTTTTT